TCTCCTTTTTCTAATGGTAGAGGCAGTTTGGGACCATTTAGGGACACCCTAAGGCTTCTGGTTGGTCCTGGTCCATGACCTGCTTTGGACCTTCGGGACTCAGTGGGACCAGGCCCAACGGGACCGGACGCGTTGGCCCCAAAATGTTGCCTTCAGTTGCATTTCTTTCCTGAGCTGAAACTGGGGGAGACACGGCTAGTAGGGACATTCCTTTAGAGTGAATCTCAACTGGTCTTACTGCATGTTCTCACACACTGCCCTGCGCCTGGCTCGGCGACCATCCGCACCCCTCGAAATCTCCATTGTTTCCGTTAGTTTTCTTTCGTCTGGCTTATTTGTGATACATGTTGCATGTGGGGCTAGGCGAGAGGGGATCTTCAGTATGATCTGACTGGACCAGTTCGTTAAGTCAGACCTCTCTTTGAATTATTTTTTATTTATGTTCTTATGCTGCGTGGATGTTGTTCTCTAGTCCAAAGAAATTGTCGCCCCGGCTAGGAGTTCTACCTTCTCTTTTATGATTTATTTTTTATTTTTTGTATCTGAACTTTCTATGTCCAGTATGGAGACGTGTGCGCAGACAGCGGAAAGAGAGAGAAGGGACATAGACGGTGTTCTTTTGTAGAGTTTGAGGAAGGGGAAGAGGAGCATTCATCCAAACGTGCGCGAAGAGAGGAACCCGCTTGAGAGATCTACTGACACCCCATCCTCCAGCACGGGAGACATTTCATCTGACCAATGGCAGGCCCTGCTGGGCGCAGCGGACAATAAGGCCAAACCATTCTTTCAGAAGCTTTATGAGGATGCATTGCAGAGAGAGAGAGAGGGAGGCAGAGGCAGCAGCTTAAGCAACAAGTATTGCTGCCCAAGTGGCTCTCCTCGCTGTTTTAAAGACGAGGGGCAAAGGTGGAGAATGGCGAGGTACCTAACTGGCTATGGTGGATACCATCTTCAACACCTTGCTAGGCGCTGCATCTGGAAGGCCCCAGTTGGGGTAGTGCTGCACCAAGGACGCTAAGGCATAGTCAGGCATCGCGGCCTGAAGAGCAGCTACCATAGCTGCTTTGAGTTGTCTTTTGCACAGGAGGGCAGAGCCCTTAGTAGTCTGCCATAGCCTTGGCATGTGACAGGAAGGTGAACAGGGAAGCCATGGCTAAGGTGGATCTATTATTGTGCTGGCAGTAAGAGGGAACTTTGGATATTGATTCTGGTTCAACCACTCATTGTTATTATTATTATTTGGGAAAAGAACAAGATTGGCAAAGACAAGGAGGAGGAGGAAGGTGGGGAGAGAAGGGGGATTTGTCATTGGTCTTGCTGGTGTACATCTTCTTCTTGAAGTTCTTT